CAAACTCGCATACCGGACTCAGGTTGAATGCGTATCGATGTATCTTCTTTATAATTGATCATATTATCACGAGTTTGTAGAGGATAACCGATATCTTGCTGAAAGATAAGCAGAATAAAGAGAATAGTTACATTCGTGAAAACAATTTCATGATTGTTTGTATCATTCAAGTATCATTCAAGTGTGATTGCATTGTAAAGGTAGCGAGATCGCACGTATTATTGAAGAAGTTGCTCTGGCCAGGTAAGTGTACGCCATATTTATTCTAAGTATTACGTTCTTACTATGTACTAAGAATCGTGATTTTACTAATATTTAAAAATAGTAATTGTAATACAGATGCCGATACATAAAATATTGTTTATTCAAAATAAAATTGAATATTGACTTTGCATTTATAATTTATCCGAGGAAGCAATAATTCTTTATTCTTAAGTAGAATCTCTCGCGTGTCAATTACTAGCAAATTAATACATTTATTTATGCGTAATTTATATATATAATAAAACTTAATAATTTATTAACTAATAAACTATAATAATTTATTTGCTAAATTATTTAAATTTTATATATAGCTACAAAAATTAAATTAGGAAAAGATAAATGATTTTTATATTATTTATATATTATATTATTTATACTTATTTATATAAAATTATTTTAAAATTATTTTAAAATTTAAAATTATTTAATTTATATAAAATTATTTTTGTTATTTTTGTGTTAAATTTTTATTTAAAAATTAATTCAATTTTTAATCTAAACTGAATCAAGATTTATTATTAATTAAAAAATTATTCTATATCTTATATAAGATAAAAATTTATATATATATAATAATTTATGATTTTATACGAGATTTTTTCTTAAAGATTTGAATTTAATTGATTTTGAATTAATATTTTACATTATTAATTTATATACTATATTATTCTTTTTTTAACGAAATATCTTTAATTTCCGAATCTTCTATATTATATAAATAATGTAATATTTAAAAAATAATATAAATCTCCAATTATATTAATATCTGATTTACTACATTAATAAAATTGAAGAAATTTGAAATATTAATATGTGTGTATGTAATAATGCGTATGTGATTGTTGAAATCGAAATAAAAAATAATAATAAAATGCTAATAAAATAAGTTATCAAAATTTATTTTGCATACATACATATATATACATATTTTATATTTTTATACCTATTTTTATATTAATGTTTATTCGTAATAATCTTAAATTATGTAATTAATATTTTTGACGTGAATATATCATATCGTGATATATACATATATATTATGGATGATAGATATGATTATCAGATAATAGTTATATAGTTACACAATTACTTTAATTAAGTTTTATTAAATATTTATATTAAATAGAATCCTTAATTGTTCATATTAATTAATTATGATAATAACACACAATTCTTTTAATTTAACACATTCGACAGCAAGTTCATTCAACGAATCTTACAGTATGATAAAATATAATGGCCAAAAATTGATTCATGCAAATAGATTCGATCAGAATTAGGAAATGTTTAACTCGCTTCTTGGAAACATTTAAATCAACTAAAATAAAAGATAGCGACATTCACATTGAAATATCGATGGTCAATCGTAATAAATATAAGCAGAAGTTTACTTGTAGAAATGTCCTTCTACTAACGGCGAGACAATTCGGCCAATTAAAGTGAAGAAGCGTCGAAGAAGAAGCGGCACGTCGTCACGTGATTTATATAAAGGCATTTTAATTAAACTCCTTAGTCGTGCGTCGTGCTGTTCGACAGACAGTTCGTAGAACTTATTCTTAACGTTCTTACATTTTATTAAAGTCACATTTTATATCACATTACAAAGTCACATTTTTAATAAGAAAAAATGGATTCTGTTTTAACAAAACTTATTGTGGTAAGTCATTCGTATTCTGCAAATTATGCCGACCGCTATATACATCGCTTTTCTCGCATTGACAGAAGTATCGATACTAAGAAGACATATCTGGAACAATCCAAATAAATTACAAGAACAGTAATAATTCTTACTCGTGGAATTAATTATGTTTTATTATTAAGAAGATAAGATGGATAGATACAATACCGTAATGGATAACAAATGAATATGAATAATCGGAATAATTTCAACTTTGTCCCTTCCCTCAAAATTTTTCGCCAATGAACGAATTAAAAAATTCTCCCCAGTGGCTAACTCATAAATATTTCCCGTGTCTGCTTAAATCATTAATCACACGTGTACATTATTTTCTAGCTGTACAAGATGAAGCGAAAATTACGTGATCTATTAAAGGCGTTTAGTCGCAGGAAAGTCATGCTTAAATTATTAATCGTGTACGTTATTTTTTAGCTGTACAAGATGAAGTGGAAATTACGTGGCCTACTAAAGACGTTTAGTCGCCGAAAAGTCGTGGACACCACTCAAGACTCTACATTGGCGAGGGTTTTGACGACTCTTGATCTCACAGCCCTAGGAATCGGCTCTACTCTGGGGGTAGGTGTGTACGTCCTGGCAGGATCCGTCGCGAAAAACTTAGCCGGTCCTGCCGTGACCATTTCGTTTGCCATCGCCGCCGTAGCATCGATGTTTGCAGGTACGTATTTATATTCGATAAAAGGATTCAAAATTACCGACTTACCTATATGAAATGAATCCGATTAAACTTAGGATATTTTTTATCCTTCCTGAGAGAGGTAGCTTGATAAAGAGAAGAGAGTATATTTCAGAGAAACTATACCGGATTAAGTGTTGAATAAATAATGAGCATGTGGTCCATCTCTTCTCATTCATGCTGTTGCTCAAGCTGATCTCAATCTCGATGGCGTGAATAAACGTCAAATGAATTCTGCAAACTTCGCAGAATATGATGCAAAAGACATTTGATATTGATTTTCGAGGCACGACGACCGGGATGAATTGATATCATTCCAGAAATTCATTATCGCACCTAGTTTAAGGGTAAAAAGAAAACAGATCGATATTGGATCTTTGACGAATTAATTGATAATCTTAAGATAATATTTATGATTAATCGTCCATTTGATAAATAATAATTTACAAACGCCGTATATGAACATATTTGTTTATTTCGCAAATGGTATTGATATTTTTTTCATAATTTTCGTTAAGATAAATTCAGATAAAATTATCGATTTGCATTATATTAATTAGAAGAAAACTGCAATGAGACTGATGATCTTATGCACGAGAAAAATTTTTAAAACAAATGCCAATTGTTAAATTAATCATAATTTGATTGTCTATTTTATCTGAGAGATACTCTAAATTTTTTGCCGAAAAGTCGTTACCTATAGATTATAGTCAAATATGTCATATAAAACATAAAATTAAATGTGACTAAACTTATAGAAAAAAAAAAGAAAAATATTTACTTTATTTACTTTGGTTTTAAAACAATTGATATATTGCTTTTGGTTTTCTTCCAATCTCATTACGCATTGACGCACAAAAACGTGATAAAATGCTAAATTTAAATTAAAAATGATAAATTTATGAGCATACATTTTATTAAAAGCATACATTTTATTGACACAAATGTTGTGCGAGGACGCACATTTTTCAATATTACTTCTAAGCCTTGCTTCGCTATCTTCTCAGGTCTCTGCTACGCCGAGTTCGGCGCACGAGTACCGCGTGCTGGATCAGCGTATGTTTACAGCTACGTGACGATGGGTGAGTTTGTGGCGTTTCTTATGGGCTGGACGCTGATCCTGGAATATATAATCGGCTCGGCCAGCGTAGTCCGCGCTCTCAGCACATACGTCGATGTGCTCTTCAACGACAGCATGAAAAACTCTTTTGAATCAGCGATGCCTATCAATGTTAATATTCTATCATCGTATCCGGACTTTTTTGCACTCGGCGTCACTCTAATATTCTCAGGTGATAAGACAAATCAATTCAGTTAAAAAAATATCACGTACTGTTTCATTGGTAAAATAGAACTGAGAAAAACATGTACCTCTCTTCGTAACTTTGTTATTAACTTGTTAATTTATTATACAAGTGTACAATGATAGTAATAATAACGGCTGAATCAACATGTAATTCTCTTCGCAGTTGCACTTGCTTTTGGAGCCAAGGAGTCCTCGACGGTGAATAATATATTCACTCTGGTGAATCTGTCTGTTGTACTTTTCGTCATAATTGCTGGTTCTTTAAAATGTAAATATTCTTTATTTTTCTTCCGTACATAGTTATTTATCCGTATATTTTTCCGTATATTTTCTTAAAGTAAACTTAATAAACTAATTTGCTAATATTTATATCATACAGATTGTTAAAATTAAAATATTGTAAATCTTACAATATTTTTTAATAAGATAGTAATTTTTCTACTATAAATTACTATTATATATTATAATTAATTTATCATAATAACATGATTAATACACAGATGTAGCTTTATTTATTTTGTATTTGCAAACTCCTAAATCAAGATATGGCATAAGATTGCAATAACTTATAGCTGACATTAACAACTGGAAAACGAAACCCGGCTGCACGGCCGACAGCTGCGAAAACGGAGACGGCGGATTCGTGCCTTACGGTGTTCAGGGCATCATATCAGGCGCGGCGATGTGTTTCTATGGGTTCATCGGTTTCGATTGCGTGGCCACCACGGGAGAAGAAGCCAAGAATCCGCAGCGGTCCATCCCCATAGCGATCGTCGCGTCGCTAACGATCGTCTTCTTGGCGTACTTCGGTGTTTCCGTAGTGCTCACCACCGTACTACCCTATTACGAACAAAATCCTAATTCACCGTTCCCGCATATGTTTAATGTGATAGGATGGGATTGGGCGAAATATTTTGTGACGGCCGGAGCAATTAGCGGACTATGCGCCAGGTAATGCTGTT